TCTCTGGAGATATTCAAGACCCGCCGGCACAAGGTCCTCTACAACCTACTGTAGGTGACCCTGCTTCGGCAGGAGGGGTGGACTAGATGACCCACAGAGGTCCCTTCCAACCCCTACCATTCTGTGATTCTGTGAGTGACTTTAGTGAGCAACAGAAATGATTTCAACTGCGGCTGAAGCGCTTGGCTAAGGTCAACTAGACTCCAAAAAAGAAGATAGCATGTAACCGAACACTTGCATGCCTGTGTCATTTGTGAGATGAAAGGTTTGCTGACAGCATGTGAGCTGCAATAGGAGCAGTGATGGTTTTGTGAGAATTTAAGCAATGTTTCAGTCAGTGCCACAATAAGGAGTTGTTGGAAGGCTGTAGCTAGAGAAAGCATACCATCAACCATACCACCAACACGTAGAACTGCTTCCCAAATTTTCAAAACAGAAAGAAAAGTCAGTCTCCTGGATTCTCCTTATTCTGGTTCTGAGGGAGGCTTTTTCGTGTTTTCCTTTAGACTATGTGATTTTACTTAAGAATAGAGATATAATTATCTTCAGTTTTACTTTTTGTTTACAAGGCTGGTGTGATCCTGTGCATGCTTAATGACTTTGGAAGATCACGAACAAAAGAAAGAGCAAGCGTGAAACCAGCTGTTTTGAAAGCCGTTTTATATGTGTTGGATTCACACTACTAGCTAGTGCAGAGCTAGCATCGCCCACTTCTGGGCTTGACGGAGAATCCTAAACCAGATAGTTTAGGACCCACAGTAATGTTTCTGTCTGCCTTGTACCATCTATTCGTGTGTCCCACAAAGCTCAGTTTAGAGTTTTGTAGAATTCTAGAGATGTGATGGTTCTTCCAACTGTTGTGCCGTATTTAGAATAAACTACTTCTTTGGTCTTTGTCATCTCCCAACAGGCAGCCGTGGAGTTTGGGTTTTCACTTTGCAAACAAGTTAGTACTTCAACTCTTCTCTCCCCTGCCTCCGCATTTTCTGGCTCTAGAGATTTTGGAATCCACATCATTACCATGTAAATGCTACTAAAGCCATGTCATCTGCCTTTCCTGAACATGCAGGTATTCAGGAGTAAAATTACCAACAGGGGGTTGTGCCTTTTTTCTCTTTAAGCTTTTTAAATCCCCGAGTAAATACAGTGATCTGATTTGCCAGCAGCAAGTATTCATGTAACTTGAGCAGATCTCAGGATCTTTGACAAAAAGCACATGCCATTTAGCCTCTTTCTATGCAGAGGAATTTGGACAATTCATCATTATAGCGAGGGCCGCCTTAGCTGACAGAGGGTTAACTGACCTCCTTCAAACAGGAACTCAACGGTTTGCCTGCAGGGAACATATTCCATGGTGAGTTGACTACTTAAGCACTTTCGATGTAAAGTAAAAACAATCTCTTGTGTCAGGGTATAATCCAAAGAACAAAGAACCATTTTGCTCGATTGTGCAGGCAGCAGAAGTTATTTTTGTCTCTTGCCTATCATATTCACATTGTACAAGAAAGTCATTTTGTTGAGGAGAGCGACTTGTTCTGCTGAGGCTCTTTGTGTCGTTTTTGAACTGCAGACCACCACTGTGTTTTGGCATGGAAGCACACAATGTACAATCTTGAAAACGGCTTTGTGTTTTGCCCTTTTTTCAAGGGGGCATGTGCTTGGGGTGTGTGAATTGATTTATGGACCTTTTTGAGCCATTAACTCCCTTCAAGGATGCCTGGTAAATGAATGTGGAAGTGAAGGCTTTTATCAGGTATTGCAGTCCTTTTCGTGTTCAAGGAACGCGTGCTTGACCTGCTTCGGATGTACTCTGCCACAGTGGTAGGTAGGTGACCTGCCTATTTTCGAGGCCTCTCTTCTTGTTCTTTGCTGCCATCCCTTTATTAAAAGCTTTGCAGGCTGGTGATTTCCTCTGCTGCTGCTGCCTGCATAATTAAGGAGGAGGAGAGGTCAAGTGGCAGCGCGGTTGTGTACGACGTGTGTTTCTGCTTTTAGAAATGACCATACATTTTAAGTTCATTGAGCAACTTCTCTTCATGATGGGTTAGTGCCATTCTTTATTCTAAAAGCTTGTTAAAATGGGTGTTGCCCAAACTTTATCACTCCAGTTTGGCATCCGTGTGGGGCTCCTGGGTCTTGCCTGGCTAGCATATAGATAAGTAGGTGTTCACAGTTACAAAAATGAAATAAGAATGAAAGTCCATTTCAGGAAGGTTTGAACACTAACTCCTGAGCTGGTGCTCAGAGTGTGAAATAATTTAAAAAAGTAAATCCATTATTCATCCTCATTCCTATTTGAGGGTGACAAGCAGTATGTAGGCTCTTGGTTGTTAGCACCCAAGACTTCTCTCTTCCCACTCAGACAGGGCTCCCATGGCCACATTCTTTGTTCTATTCTACCTTGCATTGCCTGACTTTTTCCCATTTTCTGTATACCTAAAACATCAGCCTGGTGCCAGGCTCCTCGATGCATGTCGTGAACGTTTTCCCACCATCTGTGGCAGGAGCACGTCCTGAACCAGGCCCTGTACCTCTGCATAGAAGATCTCTCAAGGGCTGTTACTCTGTAAATTTGTCATGTTCTTTGAAGCCACTTCAACTTTAGCACCCACAGTGTCTTGTGGTAGGGAGCTCCGCTGTTTAACTAAGTGCTTTTATTGTGTTGTTTGTGGGAGGTGCAGGGGAGGGTGGTTGGTTTTTGATCTACTGGATTCCTCAGTTGACCCCTACTCCTGCTCTGGAGGAGGCAGTAAATGGTTGTTCCTTATTGACATTTCCCATTTCACTCCTGTTTTGCTCTTAAACCCTTTGCTATGTGCCTGCCTGTCATTTCTTTCTGTCTGAAAAGCCTTGCTCTACTTACTCTTCGTTGTAGGAGTGAAACTGGGATCTTTGCCTGCAATTGCTGTCCAGTTGACATCCAAACATTGCAAGAGGAAGTGTCCGTCCTCGCGCCATTGTTGTGCCTGTTTCTGAGATGTACAAATCCTGGTTTCCCCTAGAGTTATTTCCCTGTCTCTCTCCCCTTTCACTCTCAGCACTGGTTCCCCCATACCCAAGCAGACACATCCATAAAGAGCTTTGTATAATCCAGACACAGACCCCTTCTATACTCATCTCACCACCTCATTATAATCGAGTTAGTATTTTTTCCTCCCTGCCAATGTCAACATCGTTTCCCTCACCATAGCCTTGACACATACCTTCTCCTTCCAGCATGTGATTGCAACCCTCATGGCATCCAGACCCCTCAGTGTGACCGTGCCACCGGCCAGTGCATCTGCAACGAAGGGGTGGAAGGGCCGCGCTGTGACAAGTGCTCCCGGGGCTACTCGGGTTTCTTCCCCGACTGTGTGCCGTGCCACCAGTGCTTTGCCCTCTGGGACGTGATCATCAGTGAGCTGGCTAATAGGACCCAGCAGTTCCTGGATAGGGCTAATGCCCTGAAAATCACTGGAGTCACTGGCCCATACCAGCAGACGCTCAACACCCTGGAGGAGAAGCTCAGTGAAATTAAAACCATCATTGCTCAAAATCCAGCTGCCGAGCCCCTGAAGAACATTGGGAATCTCTTTGAGGAAGCAGAGTGAGTATGGTCACAGTTCTGTGGTAAGTCTAGCGTGGGAAGGAGTGGGAGTGCCAGCGAGCTGGGATTTACTTGAGTGACTGATGTCCCCATGCTGGGCTGAGGACACCCAGCTCCACTCTGCCAGATGGGTGAGGTGCACTGCGGCTTGTAGCGGTGGTGGAGCACCTCGCCGTCCTCGGCACTGGTGGTGAGCACCCATCCCAGGAGCAGAAACCTGGCCTGGGAAGGGAGTCGGAGCACAGCTGCTGTGCTCTGGGCCGGGTTGTCTGGCTCCAGCTGCACACCAGGCAGCTAATTACTGCCAGGCAGCTAATTACCACTCGTGCTTGCCTTGCGCTCCCCCGGGGCAAAGGACAAACACTGCTATTGTGTGAGAGAATGAAGAGGAGAGAGATTAAATTCCTGGATTTCTGCGTGTAGCCGATGAGTTGGAAACTTGGGCTCCTTTCTTCACTCCGAGTGTGAGGGGGGAAGCACTAGCTTTAGAACAAGGATTGTTTCCATTTTTCTCAGGGTAGGAGCCTTGTATTTTGTTTTAGGGCTAAGCACACAAAGGATGGTAGTTTGCACTTATGGAGATGGGGCAGTTTAACATCAAGTAGGGTTACAAATGCTTTCTAGCCGTGTGTGCCACTGCTCAGAGCTTGTTAGAGCAATTGTAAAGGGGACTGCACAAAGCAACGGGGCGCAGATGAAAGCACAGATGTCTCAATCAGGGATAGCTTGTGCCCTGCAGCTCCCTCCCTCCAGCTGCAGAGCTGGGGGTTGCTGCTGCGCTCAGGCTCTGCGGGTGCTGAGGAGCTGCTTCTCGCTAACGTGTATATAAGTACGTGTTCTTGCTCCTCTCTTGTCTGTATAGGAGTAGTATGGAGCTTCAAAGGACTCCTGGAAAACAGCAGGCTGTTGGGCTGTTGAGAGAACTGCAGATTGATCACAGAGCTTACATACTGCCTGATTCTTTCAGAATGAGGAAACACTGGGATTGGAGGGATCACCAGGAATGGGAACAGCTTCCTATGCCCACTTCTGTTCCGGAGCAGCATTGATGTGTAGCGTACACTTGCCTTTCCTTTTAGGGTATTCCCCCTAGCTAAAGCCTGCTCCGTGGCTCACGGAGGCCGTGCTGAGGACGGAAGGTTTTCCTTCATAGCCCTCAAGAAATGGCTGGTGAGGGGGGATCTTTACAGAAAAGTTAAAAGAATCCATTGTGTTAAAACCAAGGCTTTCCCCCCTGCTTCCTGAAATTCAAGTCTGTCCCATGAGCTTGTAGTAATCAAAACTGCATTTGTAGCTGTGTGGGATGGGAAGCAAATTATGTATGGATCATAGCAGTCAACTCTGACCTATGCAGTTGCCATGATACAAGAGCATTACACCAGTCCTCTGGAATCTGCCTCCAGTTAATCTTACACAAAGCAGCTGTTTTCTGAGCAATTTGGTGCTTTGAGTTTATAAACGTGCTGTAGATTAAAAAGTAGTTTTGTATGATAAAGGAAACAAAACAGCGTTCTAGGTAGGCATGTTGTTACAAATCACTTACAGCTCCACCGAGGGAGGACCGGTCCTGCCGTGGGAGAAGCTCAGCGCGGCTCTAACCACCACTCTTCGGTGAAGTGAAGCACCGAGGCTTACAGCCCTTCCTCCTCCCCTTGTTGAGTCCTGTGCCTCTGTTTTACAGAAAGCTGGCAGGAGATGTTACAGTTAAGATAGCCGACATACAAGAAAACCTGTCAGCCTTAGCAGTGAAGAGCAACAGCACAGACACTGACCTGAGCGCGCTGGAGACAGATGCCAAAAGCCTAGACCGTGTCGTGAAAGAACTTGCAGAGCAGCTAGAGTTCATCAAGATCTCTGATGTTCGAGGTAAGTGTCGCAGGGAGGAGGAGAAAGCAGTGGGGTGGCCAAAGATTTAATTAGTGCACCGTTTTAAATACCGGGTTAATCTTCTAACTTGCAATAAAACACAGTTCCTAGGAGGGCAGCTTCTTTCTTTGCAGAGTTGCTGATGCAGCAGGGATTTTGTTTTGCCCCCTCCCCCCCTCTCTCTCCCTCTGCACATTGCAAAGTTGGGTTAAGTTCTTGGGGCACAGAGTTGTCTTAAAGGCTCTTGATTAACGCATTTTAGATGAGACACAACAGCTTTAAGTGTGGTAGATTCCAAAATACACCTGGACGTCTCCCTTGCTCTCCCCAGTCTGTTAAATTGCTGTTTCTGGTTGGAAAAACTACCTGGGTCTTGGTGACTAAGAGCACACCGTAAGGGCTCTGTTCTTCCGAGCCGCCCGCACCTTCCATGCCCACTGGCACACTGAAATGGGCCAAGAATGAAAATTTGCTGGAGAACGAGGAACATCAAACATCACCAAATTCTGTGGAAATTTTAAAAGCTGACTTCATTCCAACTTGAAACAAAGGATTTTTTGTTTTCTTTTGAATTTCCTGCTTTGCAGGAAGTCTGCGATTGTTTCCAGTGAACGTGGGGTTTCGCAGAGCGAGGCAAGTAGGATGTAGAATGGGGGAGTCCCTGACTTGTGGCATTCTGCAGAGGAAAACTGCCTGAGGTGCAGAGTGTGGCCGCCCCCGCGGAGTCCCTCACACCCGCCCAAGGCCTCTCCAGGAGTTGTCCAAAACTAACAGTTCCATAAATCAGCATCTTTCATCAAGCTGTTGTTTCCTGGGAAGGCTCTGACCAGTTTCCAAGCAGTGACTCCGTAAGCCAGACATCCTAGGGCAAGCAACAAGAACTAATGGGATAAGTGAATCCTTAGAAAACAGACTGGTGCCCTATAAACCGAAAAGGCTGGATCTCCTTGGGCCCTCGGGGCAAGCAGAATTCCGTCACTAGGGTCAGAGAAAGGCTTAACTTCAGAATCCAGCAAACTTGACACGCTGTCAACCAAGCAAAAGAATTAACTTTTTTTTTCCCTTCCCCCTAAACCAGGCCAAATTCTGTCATCTTTGCAATGGCCCTGAATATAGCTGCAGAGGGTAGTGTTTCCTTTACCTTGATACGTGTATCGCTAATCCTGATGTGTCCTCTGCCAACCACCATAGTATAAATTACTTTGAGTTAGTTAACAAATTTCTGAGCAGCTCCATCTGCTTTCTGCAGGGGCCTTGGACAGTATCACCAAGTATTTCCAGATGTCCCTGGAGGCAGAGGAGCGGGTCAATGCCTCCACTGTCCTCCCCGGTAGCGCCGTGGAGCTGTCGGCGCAGACGCGGCAGGAAGTGGAAGACTTAATCAGCGAGAAGGAGGCCCACTTCAAGGCTAAACAAGAGGAGCAGTCGCGCCTGCTGGATGAACTCGCAGGCAAGCTGCAGAGCTTGGACCTCTCCGAAGTGGCTGCGAAGGTATGCGGCTCAGAAGCGCTGGTATAAAACCTGTGGCAAAAATAAAGGTGGGGTTGTGACGAAGCGACAGGCAGGGAGGAGCTGTTTAGAGCTTGACAGTGTGAGATACAGTTCATGCATGGAAAGTGCACGTTTCTTGGATAATGGGGTGTTTTGTGGGCTAGAACAGGGCTGTTTAGTCAGTGGGCTCTGAGACCTGCTGGCTTTCAGGCACCAGCCCTTCCTGTTGGTCTCTGTCCTACCCCTCCCCAGCCCTGACAGAGCACCCATCTTTTCACCACTCTGGCTCTAACCCAAAGCCCATTGTTGGGGACAATGCTCCCACATGCAGAAAAGTGTTTCAAGTCTGCTGGACCCACAGCCGTCCTCTTAAGCCTGTCCTCAGTTCATGTGCTTGCTTTCTCTAGTCTCCCCTCTCCCTTTCTGCGGCTCCGTAGGGTACGTGCCGTGCCTATGCAGCGCCCAGCCAAGCAGCACCTCTCCTCCTCCTGCCGACGGGCTGCCCTCCTTGGCATCACCACGCTCCCGTCCTCCTGCTTGAGACAAAGCAGAACTTAGAGGGAGCTGGAGTCAAAGGGCATTTGCTCTGTTGAAGCTGCTTGCTCATCTGTAAACATGATCAAGGGTGGCTTTTTCTTGGGAGAGGCTGGGTGTTCCCTCAGTTTCACTTTGAAGTCGGCCAGCTGCATTCGGAGAACAATCCTGCGGGAAGGTGGGCTGCGGGGTCTGCTCATTAACTCCCCTGGGCAGGCCAGGCCTGCCAGGGAGGACCGGTTCTTCACACGTCCCACGTCCTTTACAACCACGGCCATCCCTCCCCCAGCCCTCCTTTTTTCTCTTTTTGTTTAGCTTCCCCTCTCCTGCACTCCCACCTAACTGTTCTTGAGGACTGAACATCTTGGGTAGATGTTTATCAAGGCCATAAACACCGAGTTGCTTGGAGGTGTAATCACGGGACACCAAAAAAAAATAAAAAAAATGTTTTTGCTTTCTAGCTACTGCTGCATTGCTTGCCAAGCAGGTAAGAGGGACTCATTTGCACTTCACAGGAGCCAGCTGCAGCTAACTTGGCACAGCCCCTAGGTTTCCCCAGAGAGGTTTTTTGGCTGCAAAGTACGTTGGTTGGTGACTATCATTTGGCAAGAGGGGTGGGGTGGAAAGGGAAAAGAACTTCACAAGAATGAGGAATTTCTCAATTTTCCCTCTGGCTGAAACAACTCCCGAGTGATTTCATTGTCCAAACAATTGAGCAAGTAGTGGATAATTCTCAGTACAATGTTGTGATTGAAATAGTTTTGCTTTTTTTTTAAAAAAAGTCTACCCTGAAATCTTCCATGGGAACACAACCTTGACAACAATTCACAAATTGGAAAATGTTCTGGAAAGATGAGATCGGAGCAAACATTTGGTGGAAGGGAATGGGACAGCTTTCTAAGGGAGATGGAAAAAAGTTTCCTGTTTAACTTGGAGCATTTCAGCTTCTATTTCATTTCTAGGGCATTAGAGCAAAGGAAAAGACACTACCCTGCACCAAACCCTTTCTTCCTTGTAAAGTAGCTCCTTGGGCTGGCTAGTTTTTCCTCCAACAGTAGTGAGGGCTGAAGACAGCAGTAGCTTCCAGCTTGAAACCAAACAGCTTTCCAGTGAAAGATGATGCACGAGAAAAGCAGATGATGAAAGCAAGGCAGGGCTTCCCCCATAACCTCCAGCCACTTCAGCCTCAGGGAGCTTTGTATTTGTAACCAAGCTAAAGGCAGGAAGGTGCAGGGGGCACAGAAGAAGGATTAAAGTTACGCTGGTGTGGACCTGCTGCAGGAACCACCTCCAGCTCGCAGCTCTACTTCAGCTTCCTTCCCCCCCCCGCGGCACTCGGGGTGCTGCTGCAAGGGGCGGAAACAACGCAGTGTTTCTGTTGTGGTAGAGCAGCAACCGACTCCATCCCCCTCGCAGCTCAGCAATGGAAATAAAGCCATGCATGTTTCCCTCGTCTACCTGTCTCTGCAGACGTGCGGCACTCCAGCAGGAGCCTCTTGTGCCGAGTCCAAGTGTGGTGGTTTAAACTGTCGAACAAAAGAGGGACAGAAGAAGTGTGGAGGACCCGGCTGCGACGGGCTGGTGACCGTAGCTCACAATGCCTGGCAGAAAGCCATGGATTTTGACAGAGACATCCTCAGCGCATTAGCAGAAGTTGAGCAACTCTCCAGAATGGTAATATGCCAAATCAATTGTTAGACATTAAAAAAATAAAGCGTCTTAGCTGTAACACAAGTTTAGACGCTAGCTGACAAAGTATGTGCCTGGCTTTCTTCAAAACGCTGCTTCTCAGTTGCATAACTTCGTCATGCTTGTAAAGATCCTCAGAAAGGGAGCTTGCTAGGGTGAAGCTTCTTGGATAGCTCTAAACATTAGCCTGAGTTGTTTAAACTAGCATCGGTGGTATGGATCATGGCCAGCTTTTTAAAGTGTTCTGTGAGTTTTATAAGAAAAAGCATTTCTCGTTACTGTTACCTCTGACTCCAACTGAAGTTTTGTTTTAAACCAGGCCTTAAAAGCATAAGTAAATATGCAATCAAGCCTTCTCTTCTCTTCTTTAGGTTTCTGAGGCAAAGCAGAGAGCTGATGAAGCAAAGCAAAATGCCCAAGAAGTTTTGCTCAAAACCAATGCTACAAAAGAGCAAGTGGACAGAAGCAATGAAGATCTGAGAAATCTTATTAAACAGATTAGAGACTTCCTAATGCGTAAAAAACTTACATTCAAATTGTATTTTAATTCTGGGTTTGTGAAAAGTATCTTTAGCTCTGAATCATCCTCCAAGGGGTAATGCAATAGTTGTGTGTCACCCCCCCTCTCCCCTCCTTCAGCCCGACTTACTGTGTATGATGAAATCTGGAACCAAGTAAAAACCAAGACAATAGGAAAGTGAGAGCAAACTGCAGCATGATGTGGTGTTCATTTCAGCTGAGGCTGCTGAACTGCTGTAGCTTGCCAAATGTGTTCAGAAGTTCTGGCTAGAAAGACAAAGTACTGTTAAAGGGAGGAAAGTCAAAGTCAGCGAGTTTATCTCTCTGTAAGCAAGCAGGTAGAGGTTAAACGAGGGCCTTGTTCGCTAGCAAGCGGCAGCACGGCAAACCTGTTCCTTCGCTGTTTGCACAAGGCTGAGTGTACTGTTAGCACGAATACAGTTGTGGGCAGCTGTTGGCTTCGGCTCCCTCCCGCAGCCCCAGCATGGTGTAGCTAATCCCTGAGATCCTCAGATGGCTTCCAAGATTGCTCTGCCAGCAGGGCCTGTGCACCTGCTGGGCCTCTCCTGAGAGGGAAGCTTCACCCAAAGGAAGCAGTTTTAACATCTTGATTTTCTGTAAGTCTGGGGGAGGAAGTTTTCCCATGATTTTCCTTCTTAAGGGAGCAGTTGGACAAGAATTTGAGTACCAACACTTGACAGGGGGAAGCTTTTACTTAGATTTTTGTCATTTGTGTCCATCTACTAGAAGATAGTGCTGACCTGGACAGCATCGAGGCGGTGGCTAATGAAGTGCTGAACATGGAGATGCCAAGCACTCCCCAGCAGCTGCAAGCCCTGACAGAAGACATTCGTGAGCGCGTGGAAAGCCTTTCTGATGTTGAGGTCATTCTGCAGCAGAGCGCTGGAGACATCGCCAGAGCCGAAATGCTACTGGAGGAAGCTAAAAAAGCAAGGTGTGCAACCCTGTTCTGTGTTACCTGCTTTCAGTCACCGAGAGCTTGAACGACTTTCATTCCATGGTATCGGAAAAGGCAGGGTTTAGCTTTCCCTGATGTAGATTCTCATCCCTTCACTAAGCGGCAAAAGTGGCCCTGTGTGGTTCTTTTTCCAGGTCCAAGTAAAAGCATGTTTACTGTTAACATAGTTTTGCTCCACAGCAAAGGTGCAACAGATGTTAAAGTCACGGCAGACATAGTGAAAGCAGCGCTGGAAGAAGCTGAAAAAGCTCAGAATGCAGCTGAAAAAGCCATTAAACAAGCTGACGAAGATATTAAAGGAACCCAGGACCTGCTGACCTCGGTGAGAGCTTTATGAGTATTTTTTAAGATACAGAAACAGCACCAAGTTTGGTATTTCGAAATGGATGTAAGCCTGTCTAGGGAAGACTCTTGGCTACCACAAATCAAAGACTGCACTTAATGTAAACCATTCTTGCCTTCTCATAGACTTTGAGTTAGCACGCCAGATGCTAGGGGACCATTTGCTCTCAGAGAACCCAACAAAACAGAAGGCTTTCCTCGCCCCACATCCTGCACCACTGAAGTTAAGTGGGCAGGATCATAGCCCTCCAGCGCAGCAGGGGTGCAGGATCCCAGACAAGTCGTACCTGTCACCACATTGGTCGCGCATTGGTGTAGCCACGCTGTCAGTGCCATCCACCACTGCAGCGCGGGACTAAAATAAGTGAATGCTGGATTAAAGTGGTAGTTCGCAGCTTCACAAGTCCGTCACTACATGATGGAGTCAAATGTCAAAATTCAGTTCTGCCTGTAGGCAACTCTGGCATATGTGTAAGACAATCAAGTATTTTTTTAACCATGTTCCTTAATGTTTTTTTAGCCCCTTATGTACTTTATCTTCAAGCAGCAGCTCTTTCATCCTGACTGCTGTTGGCCATTTGTAGCAAAACTAAACCACTGTTTTTTGTATCAGAATTAATTAGTTGGTCCGGGCTTTTCCAGAAGGCTCACTATTATATTCAGTGTCTTTTGAAAATTTAACTGTTGTCCCTCTTTTAGATTGAATCTGAAAATGCAGCATCTGAAGAAACACTGAACAATGCTACCTTACGTCTATTTGAGCTAGAGAGGAGCGTTGAAGACCTTAAGCGAAAGGCTGCTACAAATTCAGAGAATGTGGATGATATAGAAGAAAAAATTGTTACTGCAAAACAAAATGCTGAAGAAGTCAAAAAGGTGAGAAGCTCAGGGAAGATGCTAAGGGAAAGCAAAAAAAAACCTCTCTCACTCCAGGTTTGGCTAAAGCAACATTAGTGAAAACAGGTGATCCATCTCATTTATTGGTCAGGTACTGGGGACAAAAAAACCCCCACCCACTTAATGCTTTTACCAAATATAGCTGCTTTTTACTTACTTTGGTACCAGATCCAGAGACTGGGAAGTTTTCAGGTTCTAAAAGAGCTGCAAGGAGCCTGTCATGCTGTCAGCCTTTCACAGATTTGTTTCTGTCCGTCAGCTTTCCTACCTGCCACAGGAGACCTGGTAATCATTTTTCCCCTTCCATCAAGTCTTCGTGGTTCAGTGTCAATGATGGGTTCAGGACAAACAGCTTAGCATTTGCCATATACAGAATCAAGTGACAAGAAGAATGGTTAGCTTAATATGAAACCAGAGTCATTTCTAAATATCAGAGACACAAAATTTGCTCTGTGACTGGATGGCGTTGCTCCCAATGTCTGCTGCACACCTTCGTAAGAGCAAAAGAATGCTCATTAACAAAACAGTTGACAGGTCTGCCAAAGGAAGTTTCATGGCTCTATAGTTAGCCCATCAGTCTCTAGAAAGGCATTTTCTGCCAGGAGAGATGTATTATCCATCAAACCAATTATTTCCAAACACTAAGTAGTATTGCAGGTGGCTGTCCAGTAAACACAAGAGACTTCCAGGACTGCTGCAGCTTCTTAACTTGCTTATTGGTTGAATTCAGCTGAGACCTAGGACTTCTTAATCTTAACTTCCTAGAGAAATGCACAGCTGAGAAACCAACCTGATGACTGCTCCAGCACCTTCACCTACACAAACTAGGCAGCTGCTCTCGTTACTGAGAGAGTAACAAGGATATTCCTCTCTAAATGCAAGTGGTCGACCAGAAGCAGTGCCAGTTCCTCACCACGTGCAAGTTTCCAGCTGTACTGGGGGCCGTGACTTCCATTAATAGCAGAATTGTGTGACTGAATCCCACAAATCCTTGCTAAGTGTCAGTGTTAAAGCTGTGAAACAGCCACAGATCTGCAAAAGGGCAACTGATCAGTCTTCACCCCAATTCCTGAAGTCTTGACTATTAAGTAGTAAAAAACCCCAACCCTGTTTCTGCTTTTGTTAACTGAGCTAACAGTCCGCAGACTCTCCTTACACCCGGCTCAGAAAAGATGGAGGGAGGGAGCACAAATTTCCCCCGCGCTGTCTTTTGCGTGAGCTCCATCTCGTGCTTCAATCTGGAACAACAGGTCCTCAATACCGAGCTGAGCGACAAGTACAGGACGGTGGAAGATCTCATTGCCAAGAAGACAGAAGAGTCGGCGGCGGCGAGGAGGAAAGCCGGCATGTTGCAGGATGAAGCTAAAGCCTTGTTGGCTCAAGCAAACAGCAAACTCCAGCTCCTCAAAGGTAAGGCTGTTCTGAGGAGGTAAGCTGTCAGCGTATGAAGCAATGCCGTGCTCTTAAACTGGCTTCTGAGCAGCAGCAGGGGAACAAAAACAGAAGTTACTTGTTACTGAGGTTTGATCTGCTTTCCTTATTCTTATGGACACAACGTAGTCTTTTGAATCAAAGATTTGTCAAAAAAAAAAAAAGCTGAAACTTCAGTGAGACACACACTTCTGCTAAGGCACCTGTCACTGCTGCAGGAACCACCCCAGGGAAGGCCCACAGCTGCCATGCTTAGGACAGGGACCAACCCGTTCAAGCAAGACCCCCGTCTTCAAACAATACTCCCCCTGCCCCAGAAAGCTTATTAAAACAAAAGGTGATCAGGACAGGTCAGTTCCAGTTCACAGATTAGTGTAACATTTCCCATTGCCATGAGAAGTTCACCGAAACAGGAGGGGGCAATCTGCCCATAGCTACCAGGGAGGGAGCTACATTTTCCTTCTGTTTTTGCCAGGCCAGAAACTCGTTCTTCCCCTTAGCCGCTGCTGCACAGTTACAGTGACCCACTGAACAGTCTTAACCATAACAAGCCAAAACATTTCACTGTTCGCTAAAAGCCACCATGCAGCAGAGAATGACAATTATTTTCAGCGCGAATCAAAGTATACTTTGGATTTCCACTTACAGAAACTTATTTCCTTGTTGCCAATACAGCCAGGCTGCATTATTTATAACTTTATAACATCATATTTGCACATGCCTTCTTGCAGTCACTATCATCACCGGCAATTCAAAAAACCTATATACCTGTTGCACAAATAAACCTGCACTGTTTAAGCAGCCAGTTGTCACAGTTTCTCACTGAACGCAACCGAACGCTAAGCACGACCGTGTTAGTTCATGAGCACGACTGGACTGAAGGTGCAGACCGCTGTTCGTGTATCCAGAATCGTGGTAGTTTAACATACATATCAAACGTGACTGGACTGGTAGTGGTAAATTGGATATCACCCAGAATTTAAACCTAGCCTCCCACTCCGGTGAGTTAGAATGCAAGGGGGTTTATTTTCTGCCGAATTCCTCCATCCTTATAACGCAACAGTGTCCCAGTGGTAAGAAAACAAAAAGGTGCCATTCCAGCCCTCCCCCAACCCCCCCATCAGATTCTCTTCCGCAATACAAATAAATTTGAGTAGTAGTTTATCCATAATGATAATGATTTACATTTTACAGCATTAAAACGCCCCTAATTAATGTTTTTCTCCTTCCTTTGCGGACAGATTTGGAAAACACATATGAGAACAATCAAAAAGTTCTGGAAGACAAAGCCAAGCAGTTGGTGGAGCTGGAAGAGACAGTCCGCTCCCTGCTACAGACAATCAGCCAGAAGGTTGCTGTTTACAGCACTTGCTTATAAATGGGAGCAAGAAATGCTTGTGTTCAGGATGGGTTTTACAAGTATTACACAAGTTCTTTTTGACATTACACTAAGACCTGATAAAGCAATCAGGTTTTATGTTGACTTTCAAGTCACAGAACCAAAGACAAGTAACTTTTTGATGTTGAAAAATAAACAGTACTTTTGTATCACTGTATGTACCTAGTATGACTCGTCAAGTTCCTTCCTGTTTTCAGCAGCTGAAATGGTACATCAATTAATCCTTTAACAAGTTGTGTTTTTAGACTGGTTTAGAGATCTAATAAAATCTTGGCTCCAACTACATCATTCTAAATGAGGGCTCCAATTACTACCAAATCCAGGATGGTCACTCAGAACAAAATTACAAGTGAATGAAGAAACACCATCCTTGTGTGGTTGGTTAGCACTTATGCCACAGTACTCTAATAAAAGGGTTATTTACCCTCTGTGTAACATCCATTTAGGCTTGACACTCATTTCATGTCACAGATTGTGGAAGACTTGATATGTGAAGTGGAAACAGGTCCGCGCTGAAGGGGTGAATGTGGTTTTCATTTCAAGCACCAAATTTACATGCTAAACCAAGCCTGGAGGATCAAGCCTCTCTGGAAAAGGAACTACAAAAGTTCACAGGGCACTTACCATGACTTAGTTAAGGAGCTGTACACAGGCAGCTCCCTACAAACAGCTTGCACTTAACACAAGTAAGACTTTTCTCGAAGTGCAAGAGTAACATCCAGTTCACTGTACTTAAAGTTATCTGTAGAACAGTGCACCTTCAGACAACTGTACAGTACTGCACAAACTGATTTACACCACTCATCAGCTACACAAATCAGCATGCAGAACTGCAACGTGCATTAGTACGTCCTGTGAACTCTGACCTGGGGAATGCATCTGCCTCGGTACTCTGATCAGCGCCTTACATAACCTTGGCCAACACCATCAAAAGTCAGTCAGGACATCACTGGCAGAATGTATCACCACCTAAGCAAACTGAAAAGCAGTATGTTTAAATAAATAATTACCTCTAAGCTCCACAGGTAACAAATGCTTCAGCAAAAAATCCATCACAGGAACTGATTACATACCAGCATCCTACACTGTTTCACTGCCAGCATACTTAGAGGCTGTTACAAAGACAATTTGCAAGCTTTGCAATATTCAGACTTAACAGCAATCATCAGCTCATTGACAGGTGGCTCAGTAGCTCACCTTCCTTTTGCCTTCACAAACACCCTTTGTACACTTAACTAGAACAGGAATGATAGCGAGGCAAGTAACACCACAGTAACAATTTTAAGGCCTTGAATTTTATTTTCAAGTGTCTGGGAAATTATAGTCTCCAGTATAATTTTAGTAGCATTCTTGATTAAAGTTTCCCCGACTTTCCAAACTTCATTTAACACGAACAAAATGAGACACGAGAATGCCTCGCTAACTGATGAGCCTCAAGACTGAACTGCAGTAAGACTGCCCCAAGTACCACGGGAGGTGGAGGACGTGGACATAAAGCTGTTTCTGAAAAGAGCGGGGCTGCTGGGAAGAACTTGCAAAAGCACAAGATCATCACTTCATAGCATTTATCCACAGCAGGTAGAAGTGATTCCAAAATGCCAAGATCTATGGGAAGAATCAAGTTTTGCTTCCCTCACTATTGTCTCACCTTTGCTTTCCCTTCAGCAAATTCCCACTAACACTTGAAAGCAGATCCACATCAACTCACTTAACCCAGCACATCCATGCACTGGATTAGCTCAGAACCTGGCGGTAAACTCAGTGAGCTGACATGGCTTAACCACATCTACATTTATTACAGAGTTAAAAAAAAACAAAATGAAGAACAGTATCACTGGTGTTTGTTGATTTACAGGTATCTTAATAAAATGGTAACGTTGGCATATATATATTTCCATCGCTCAGTATGGATAATGGATCAATACTTGAATAAGAAGCTCTAAAGAAAGATAGAGGTATACAGCCGTCTTGTCTATAAACAGAACCAAGCAGCTTTTGCACCATTTTCTGAATGTACATTTCTCATCTATCGCTCCACTGGCATAATGAAAAAGGACATGCACAATAGCAACAGATATTAAGGTTTTCTTCAAGGCAGAAGAGGCTAACAAGAAGAAATGGCACCCTGCAAAACAGAACTTAAAAGGAGCTACTGGAATGGGCACATCCCATCTACACGATGGGGATCTGCCAAAGATGCCATTTGTTTGTGGGTTTCTTCACTTATTCCACAACCTAGACACTAAAAGAAGTAACGGGACCGATCAGCAAAGAAAACCCAAGATGATGCTCCAGCCATATGAAACATTTATTAAGCTCTCTTCTTACAGAAGAGACAGAAAGAGAGCACAAAAATAGAAAACAGAAGAAGAGAAGAAAGTATGTCTTAATTGTGTGGAGAGCTGACACTGCAGCCTTCACATGTGGAAGGTGCAGAATAACCCTCATGTCACAGCACTTAACAGCAAGCACTGCTTCACTACCCAGTTTTAGCGTTTCAAGTTCAAGAGAGTTGGACAACGGAAGCTTTAAAAACAAAACAGGTTAAGTAGCAGTAAGATTATTTTTCTTTAATCTTTCATTTCTCCATCAGCACTTGATTTTTCCCTTGATGAGTTTTCAATATGAAAACATGATGTGTGGAGAATCACACTCACCGAGTAATTTTCTCTTTAAAAAGTCAAAATAGCTTTAATTGCTCTATACGAGCCCCTCTTCTCCCGACACACTAAGACTACTAGGTCAAAACAAGTTTTGCTACTTGTATGTAAGCAGCAGGTTAAATACTAAAGTTAATCGTTTGAGAAAAAAACCCCACATTTTTGTGCGGAAGTGACAGTGGCATGTGAAGTGCCAGTGGCATTATAAGTGCCAGCATTCAAGGGGTTTAGTCTATCACTACTTCAAACACGAAAACACCAGCTATGCCAGACACTTCTCCAGAGTTTTAACCAGCATACCTCAATCCCATGCAGCAGTGAAATGTTTGAAGAAGAGTTCAGTCAGACTGTTTTTCTGCAACATTCATCATGTAAATAAACATGTAGTTTTAAGTATTTAATTTACAGAGACTGGATAATTCCACTTGTTCCGAACTCTACTTGTTTAAATATCTGATGTTTAAAATGAAGAGATGCATTTAACTCAGTCCTAAAATCCTCAGACTCAGCCTTCCGTAAGGGCCCACACCGTTTTCAGAGATGTACCACACACGTACACGGATGGTCTCCTCCGTTTTAGAAATTGATAGCTTTGCCAAAAGATGCTGCTAGGTTTGCTTCCCTGAAGGCTTCTGACACTGTCTGTAGAAAGCAAACACAAAAAGGTTGAAGTCATAAGTAGTTACATGTAATTATAGCATGTCTCTGTAACCCTGGTGTTCAACACTCCGTTTAGCAAAAACTTACTGGATGGGCATGGCAAACTCTGGCTACATCCTCACATGACGCGCCATATTCCATAGCGAGGGCAGCTTCATTAACCATCTCGCCGGCACCCTGTAATTTAATGGCATTTGCAATTAACACCAATCTTTATGCAGTTGTCCAGGTTCTCCTCAGTCACTAGCAGCTTGTAAATAAGCAGCTTTTGCACTTCAGCTGTGTTCTAACACAAGCCATAAATACATCATCTATTTGGTGACTGTGCTCAAGCCTAGCGTAAATCTAACCATCATTCTTCATGAGAGTACTTCTTCTCTCATTACTGAGGGTTGTGCAGCCTCTGGGCATTTTTCCACTACAAGACAATACCCACATTCTCAAACTACAGCGTACATTGTCGCTGCTAAAGCCTCCCCAAAACTTCAATGCCCTCCTGGAAAGTTAAGTAGATATCTAGATAAACAAAAGCCTGTTACTACATCTGCACTCTCATTTTTATCTGTTGTATTTATGTGTTTACTCAGAGAACATTTCTTTGAGAAGTCAAAAACAGTGAAATCTCCTGTTACACTTTTAGCATTTAGATCCACAATCATAAGATTTTCCCCTCATCCTTTCCCAGTGAAGAAAATTAGTCTGTCTCACACCGATCCATCTGAGCTGTGCTTCCTTTAAGGCATGTCGATTTTTAAAAGACTGACATCATGAGAAAAAATAACTAGCATAACATCTTATTATGTGTCTTCTATCAGAAAATAGGAGAACTGGATTCAAAACAAAAAGCCTATCCACTAGTATATCCATTTATAAGAAGAAAATTTCCTTTCGAGGAAAATGAAGAGCAGTTCTAGTGTTCCTCTTAAAGAAAGCTGTATACAAAGCTGCATGGAAGTGTTTCTGCATACTTCTTTAGGAAAAAAAAAGATTATTTAAAGCTAAGAAACAAAACTGAGGGAGACCAGGGTCTAACTTTGGAATGTGTGGACAGCGGAAGACGACACTTTTCCCAACTAGAATTTTCTGATTACTCATCTTTACAAAGGATTTTTAATCAAAGTCCCATAAGCTACTGACCCCAGATTTGGTGACTGCAGCATAAGTTTACCAGCTTTGCTGAAGTAAGAAGTTGAATGGGAGAAAAAAAAAAAAACAACAATGAAAAAGCCACAGTCTGTTCAGCTCCAGAACTGGAGTCAACAATTTCTGTTGTTCTCTCAAGTATTTGGCAGTACTCATACAACCACCTCAAACACACAACTGGTCAGAGAAGGCACGTAACCCTAGCAATTCTAGGGAAAAAAAATTAAAAATGCTAGGCCTAACACCAAAGTAACAGAAAAATGGAAAGGAGGGCAGGGCTGCCGAAGAGAACAGTAAATAAAAATTACTATGCTAGAATGGTAGAATCAAATCTCCCTTCTTTTTACAAGCACCACTTCTCCTAACTTGACAACTACTTTGCAACCGTGCAGCACTGAGTAACAGACCTTTATAAGGCCGAGACAGCAGCACAATTTACAATACTTACTGCGCCTAAAATGTGAGCACCCAACATCTTGTCTGTTGATTTTTGACTGAGTATCTTCACCATGCCATCTGTGTCAGCATTTGTCTTCGCTCTACTGTTCGCAGCAAATGGAAATTTCCCAATTTTATATTCTACACCCTAAGAAACAGATGTGTTACTGAGTTCATGACCAACAAGAACAAGGTAACCACACAGACAATTTGGTAAGTACAAGAACAGAAGCAACACAAAAATAAAAGATGCATAAAACACACAGAGAAATGCAAAAGAATAACCACCAGAAGGGGTATAAGGGGGCATTGAAACAAACATTAATTGTCAGATGAACAACATTAACTTCACAGAACAGAAGCCATTAAAGAGAACTGTAA